CGCCAACCGTAATTTCTTCGATCATCGTCGATAACATGTTTTTAGCAAAAGATCACGTGATAATTACAATTAACTGTTGCTATTATTTTTGTTGTTAATTAAACCGATCGCCGTCGATGCTGCCCAGTCATCGTTTAATGATTTTCTCTTGAATTATTTTCGCTTAACGACCTCTGGGGTCCCGGTCCAAAGAGAGACCCACGACGATGACTATCTATATCATTATTGCGCAATACTTTATCTTGATACTTAATCCAGGAAGACGCTTAAATATGTTTTTTTTTTAAAAAAGCAATCAAGTTTCACCTATTTTGATTTTGGAGTGAAGTCTTAAAAACATGACTAACGTGACCTTGGGGTATGGGGACTCTCTCCGCGTTGGCCCTTGCCGTCAGGCAATTGTCATAATCTAAAAATCATGATCTCGTTTAAATCCTTCGACACGATTTTGAGTAGGTATACATAAAATAATATATTATTTTATTATTAAATATATATATAGGTACCAAGTATAAAATCATAACGTCAACCTTGGTCGCCGTTGCGTTGTTGTCGCCTCTAAACGCTTTCACCAGGAAACCGTTTAATTATTATTAGCAACGATAATGATGATGATTGATGACTAATATCAAAAGCACATTAACTCATTCATTGATACCGAAGTCCGGTAGTCAACAATACAATAACGATTATATCATCGAGCAAACTACTAATAGATTTATTTTAATATGTTTAATCATAAAAAACTGTATTAATAAAAAAATTATCCTCGTTTCGTCAAAAGTATTCTAAAGTATTTTACATGCAAATCAACTATAATAATTATGAATTACAATAATTGACGATAACCAAACAATTGTTTAGCACCAATCAAAAATCGTACACCGAAATATCTACTAACATTTTATTAATCTTTAATTTTCGGTTATATTTTATATTTGACGTTAGGTTAGGTTCAGCAGATGGTGGGCACGGAAAGTTTCAGAAACGTCAAATTTTATCAAAATCGACACAGATCAAATATTGAACATTAATTAAATTTGTAAAAAGGTTTAACAAGTTTATAGGTTGTAACGTTGTCTTGATAATTTTTTTTTTTAATGTACCTTTAAGTATTTTAAATATATTACCACCATATAGCATTTTTTTTACTAAATATGGTCTTTTGCGTTGTGACGAAAAATTTTATCAAGGGCATTAGCTATGGAGAAATGTATGCCAGTCACCGACACCGACTTACATATTATATAATGATAATTATTATTATGGCAAGCAACAACAACCGACGGGTTCAGTGCATAGAAAGAGTTTCCCGGCAAAACTGATAAAATTGCATTTTTTTTTCATCAAAATCGATAGCGCTGGCGCAGATTAATCGACGTTGCAAGGGCAAAGCAACACACACAGGGCAAAACTCGTTTATCATAATTAGAGTTTGAAGTTGTATGATTTTAAAAATTTGAATTTGGTGTATGAAGCTCAATAAGAGTAAGAAAATATGCAAAAGATTTGATTAACATTGTTAAAACGATGTTAAAGACTAAATAATTAAGCTTATTTTATTGAATTCTAACCAAAGAAAATGTATGCAAGAATTCTTATTATTTTTTTATTACATACTGTACAATGGTATATTATACAAAAAAAAAATATACATATATATATATTTTTTTTTAACTAAGAAGCCACATATATTATAAATTGTGTTTAATAAGGTCATAAAAAAGTCATACCCATTTTTGCATGTACATAATTATAAAAGTTCATATGCGTATATTTCAATGTACATAAAAGTGCTAATTTCAAGGTTCTTTACTGCAAACAAATACTACATACTATTAATGATAATATTTATATATATATATATATATGTTATAATAAATAAATATTGATATCGGAAATGGAAATGGACAAGACAGACCACGTAATAAACCCAACTGCAACAAGTTCTAGTTAGGCCTATATCATCGACTAAACATTGCCTATGCACGAAGTATACAAACGGACATAACTCGCTATGCATACAAGGATAAGTTAGAGTTGGGTATGTATAATATTGCGATGTATACAGTGTATAGTATACTGTATATACAATTCTAGATTGAAAAATTCACCACCATAAACGGAACTTTAGGTTAAGTCCTAGCGAAATCTATCGAATTATAAATTATGAATTTAATATTTTTACTGACTGTATTCCACTACTTATGATACATACAAAAAAATACTGATACGTTATTACTGTAGAACCCTATTTCTTAATGTGGACAGTCTATAAAGTCTAAAAGCATTAATGCCAAAAGTTTAAAAAATGACTACATTTTCTCTTAAAATTGACAAATAAAACACCTTAAAAATGCACATATTTTTTAATAAAAAATCGCAAAAATAATTTACACGCATAACGTTCTTTTCCCTAGAAAAGAAGTCGACAATTTTACTTTATTTCGCTTTTTTTGGAGTAGTTTTGCGACTTAGAGTCTGATGTATGGGATGATAACATATCTAGTATGTACATTTACAAACGTAAGACCAAATTAAAAGAAAAAAATGTTTAAATAAAAAAAATATGGCGTATTTTTGAAATTATTGAAAAGTTAATTAAATTATTTCTAACGCGTTAAAGATATAAAACAATTTGTTTTTTACAATTAGATATAAGGAAATAAAATAAAATCAGTTACGATTTAGGTATGCATTTTTGACCATATAATTTTTTAATATTGTGATTCATTTGAAAAATATGTTTTAAAATAGCTCACTTTGGTGAATGAAGCAGCAGAACAAGATTGACCGAATATGTATGGTGTCGGAGGGGGTACCAGGGAACATAACAAGATGATGGCCGAATTCAAAACGACCCAGACAACGATGGTCAAATATAATAAAGAAAGACCTTAGGATTATTGGGGAAGATAATGGGGAGGAATTAATGAACTATCAATGATGAAATATCAATCAGGGAGAAATAGAGTTATGTTATTGCTGCGGCGACGGACCTTAATGGTATTTATTATGCCCAAAAAGTAGAAGATAATTTAGTGAAATAGGCTTGGGTACAGTAAACTTCCAGTACATATAGACTTGGTTAATTTCTGATGCAATTTAGAGCAAGTTCTTTTACGCGATTAAATCACAACTAATTAAAAAACACAAATTCAGTTTTACTAGTCTTATTATATTTTTTACACTTTGTATATACAAAAAATTTAAATAACACTATGCATTTCATTATTTTCATTGCCTACGGCCATACCACTTATAAAACCACAAACTACGGAAACGTCGTAATTTGGTGGTTTTTTTTATATTTTAAAATGATTTAAAATGCTAAATTATAATATAGTAAAAAAACACACACACTGGGCGAATAGTATTATATTACCTATTTCGTTGGCTATCAAGTAAAACGTGGTGGATTTTGAAAATAAAATAATCACACCATATACAAATGAAGTGTAACGACGTCCTTCACAACAGGTTGTTCGGGTTTTCTCACATCACTGGAAAATCGTGAATGTCAAGTTGAACGAATGACAAAAGAGTGGACTACTACTATTAGATTATAGTTTTATGTGTATGTGTGTGTGTGTGTTTTACTACAAAGCACCTGACTAAACGAGTAAAGTATGATGAGAAAAAAAAAGTTTATAACAACAATAATCTAGTTCGGGTTAATAAGGAAGCAGACGACTCTGACACAGTTGCTGGCTTCCTCGTTCTCCAAACGGATAATCGAGGCGTAAAATGAATACAAAATTAATTTAAAAAAAATAATATTAGGTATAAATATAACGTTTAACGGTCATGATGAGGTCACGTCCTTGGATTATAAACTCTTAAACATACGAAACGTATGTTTATTTATATTTTGTTTTTGAACACAACCCCAGAGCGAAAGATATTCAGGAAACACTGTGTGACGATTTTAATCCTGAATCCGTACAATAGTAACAGAGACTTCTTTTTAAACTTATTTTATTTGTCTAGACTTCAGATAAACTATAGCCAATCCAATAATTGATAGTTTAGTGTAGATCTTATAGAAACTGCCATTGACAGTCGTTATTTGAAATGCATTTCGAATATTACTGTTACTGTTATTGGGCAGTTCAGTTCAACATTTAAAAAATGTTTTAACAGTGGAATCCTCTTTCAAAATAGTACAATTTTGATTATGACATGATTAAAAAACTACAGAAAAACAGTCGGCGAATAAATATATGTGTATTTAATTTTATATGATTTTATTTAATTCAATTTTTTACTTGAAAAATTAATTACTACATATTTTTTAATATAGCTTGAAATCCTTAAAATAGATTATTTAATACATTTCATTTGATTATTTAATGATTTACAGAAATATTGTAAAAATGTATACCACCAAAAGTTCTGTGAAATTTCGTTCCAAATATTTTTTAATTCCTAAAAATAAGGAATGAAAGGAAATGTATCAATTCTACAATTAATAAAAAGAGCACAGCACATAAAAATACTTATACAATTATAACCAGTTCTCATAATAATATATTGTTGTTTAACTAGTTTAACAATTATATAATAATAATGAGAATAATGACAAGCTAGCTTTCATAATATACATCGAAGTAATTATTTTCTCGATTCACCATTAATTAGGTTCTACGATTTTTTTTTTCACTTGGTCACAATCTATTTTGTTGATATCGTACTATTTTTAATATCCTACTTATTTGAATCACTACACGCTTTTGATGCTTACCACTTCAATAGCCTTAGAACTTTTTGATAGCAATTAATGTGTAGGTACATTTCATAGTAGGAAAATCACTATTTGACACTTTGTACATCAGACTTCCAGAAATGATGTAAAATTTACCAGATATTACTTAAGATTTTCAAGATTAAGTATGTACCTACCTAGTATTTGTTATTATTATTATTTTTTTAATCGCTTGGGGATCACAAAAATACTTATCAAGCACTATAATAATTATTATGATATCGTATTGTTTTACCTTGTTCAATCGTCCGTCTTTCAGGTGATCGAGTCCGCTGACCAAACCCGGCGATACCGGCACAGGTGATCCTTGCGGGAACTGTCCCAGTCGGTCGAACGAAGCAGCCATTATTTGTCCTGTAATTGGCGACGGCTGATGTTTTTTCGATATCGAGGTACCCAGATTGGATGCGGGTAATGTGTATTTTCGAATATTAGAATTTTTTTTTGATTTCGGCTTTTGTGACCGGCGACGACGGACTGCAGTGTGACGGGTTCGACGTGCGTCGATTGAATGAAGTCGAACGTGTTAACACAGAACGAATAAACATTAATCACGAATCGGTCCGCGGATAGCCCGACTGCGCTGGTGAAAGGATAATGTTATTTTGCATTGCAACTTGCCGGCTTTTTCCCCACCATTGATAATGTCCGTGTTCTCGGTGATATTATTTTACTCGATGTTAGAATGTATACACATCATAGGTAGTACACACATACGTCATATTATTATTAAATCGACGTTCCCCACCCAGTGCGTGTAGTGACAACAGCACACGAAGACACACACGAGGTAATAGTAGCCTGGTGGGCCGATAGATCCGCACTCCGCAGTGACCTGTCCAACCGGCGACGGATTGCGCGTGCGCCGTGAAAAATCATTACGGCGTGACGTCACGCTAGCGTAGTTGCTTTGGGAATAGTTCAAACGAAAAGCGCGGCAAAACACAATCGTTCGACACAACTCGCAAGTGTTTTAACAGTTCTTGTAACATAAATTATTATCACCAGCTCATGTGACGAGAACTAAAATACAACTACGTTTTATGTAGTGACGGATTTAACGCGTCAAAAATGGACGTTGAACACTAGACTGAAGGCCTCTGACTGTTAGGAGTGTGAAGCATAGATTTTCCATTCCCAGCCTTCCATAATATATTGTTTATTTGGTTATGTAGTGTAAAACAAACTTGAGCCCTATAGATACCCTACTAAAAACCAGGAAAGTTATGTCATGTTTTAATTTAAGCACCCAAACTAAAGGAGCTTGCTCCACCCTTGAGTAATTGTTTGAATGGGCTTTTGGTACCTAGTATTTACGGACTGGGCCTTTTTTCTTAAATCCGCCACTGGATTTTCGTATTATAATTTTTCTTAGCGATAAATTCTACACTATAAAATACGTATTATAACTTGTGTATAGGAATTTCAAAATAATTGTCTATTTGGTGTTTTGGTATAGACAATTTTTTGAAAAATCTTGGTAGAACTTAAGAGTGTAGATTCTGTATAGCTAAATTTAATTAATTTTTATCAGATACAATCACACCGCTCTTAACAATGGTTTTATTTATTATATAATTAGATAATTAGTCATTTGGAAGTCTGAAATTTTCCGAATATTTGGCGGCTTCAAAATTCAAATATCAAACGTAACCCCAACTCAAACCAAATACAATCGCAAACTCAAAGTTTAATTTTTTTTGAATTTATATGGGTTAGACATTATTAGAGCTTAAAAATACGATTTATGCACAGTACTGCTGAACCTCCATTTTAATGACAACATGCTCCCTTCGTGTATTATATCGGCTGCAGACAAATTGAGAGCAGCAAATCTAATCGAGTCGACATTCCTATCTCGGATAAACAGCCACGTATGGCTCATCACGAGCGGCCAGCTCATCGATAATATTTACATTATATTATAAGGTTACATAAATCAACATAACATAATGAACATCCAGAGTAACAATATTTTCTGATAGATTTATATTTTAAGCGATCCAAACATATTTTAAATATCCATACGAATATTAATAAAAAAAAAACTAATAACAAAGATTCAACTTGAGTAACTTTTATAAGTAATCAATAAATTGTTGTTTTATGTTTATTGCACTTAAATATTATTAAGTATTTTTTATTATTATTAGATAATAGTGCATATAATTATAAATTATAATATACCCTTACAATGCTGGGTAAAACGTCTACTATTGTTTATTTGGTTAAGAATGTTCACACAAGAAACATAGTTAAATCTCATAGAGATGTCATAAAAGTTGAAAACACAACGTAACATACCTAAATTATTAGTAAAACTTCATAAGTTCGGTACATAACATTTAAATACATTATATGGATCACAAATAGGGTGGTAACATTTAGTAACAACATCTAAAAAAAAATACTCATTGCAAGGGTCATAGCTTTAAGTTTAAAAAGTTAACATTTTAGACTAGATGTTGAAAATACTGCTAAATAAATAAATATAATAATGAATTCAAATGATTAGATTTAGTACGATGTCATAAATACTATATCTTTAGTTAACTTGTTTAATTCTAACTTATTAAATGGTGGTTTAATGCTTTTTCAAGTGGTCTCCGGATAGGTCATGGAGAGATTTGGATTTAATCGGTTCAAGATCTTCTGGCCAAGTATACTTAGGAGGAAGTGGATTATCGTAATTGAAGTCATACATTTGATCCTGAATAAACTTTTTCTTGTCTTTAGGTTCTGGATAATGTGACGCAATACCTTAAATTATAAAAAATATTTTGTATAATAATACCAACGTTTAATGACATAATTGTATTTAATATAGGTTATACCTTTCTCATAGGCGTACTCAGCTATTTTAATTGCGATTTGTAAAGAACAATCTTTGATCAAATTCAATGGCGGGTAAATGCTTCCTTTTTCCAAATCCTCTTCAGTGACAAAATTGGCCAACTCCTATCAATACAAAATATAATTTATTGTTACTTCATAGTATGTTTAATTTATATTCTTATTTAATTTAAGTACATGTTATTTTATTTAGAATAATAAATATGATTTAAGATATATGTTTTATTTGTAAAGAAATTATTTTTTATTTATTATTCTACTTAAACTTCACTCAATCCTACCGAAAATATGTAGCAGAATGTAAAAAATGATTTCCTTGTTATAATATATAATTTTGTTTACGAACACTCAAACTTGATTTTACATACCTGAGATGCAATAAGAAACAGATCCTCGATAATGTGATGTATTCCTGTGCTTATTACACCAAGAGCAACACCCGGAAATATATATGCATTGTTACCCTGTCCTGGGGTAATAGTACGTCCATTTATATTGACATCTGGAAACGGTGAACCGCTTGCAAATATACATCGGCCCTTAAAATAACATAACACAAATTAAGTTTTAATTATTTCTTGTTTAACATAATATAATTCTCACTTGTGTGAAAGTATAAGCTTGATCAGCAGTGCATTCTGCTTTTGCTGTTGGGTTACTTAATGCAAATATAATTGGTTTATCGCAATAAGAAGCAACGTTTTCCAACACTTCTTTATTGAAAGCACCCGTAGCAGCCGCAGCACCGATTAACACAGTTGGTTTGATTTCTTTAACAACTTCGACGAGACTTTTCGTGACTTTATGGTCTTTGGCGTAAAATGCTTTATCACCTTGTAGATTTCCTTCCGGCCGGTCATTCACCAACAGTCCGTCAATGTCCATCATCCATATCCTACTACGAGCTTCTTCCAATGAAATACCTTCAGTCAACATGGCTCTTACTGTCAAGTTTGCAATACCTATGGCAGCCTATGTAAAATAAATCACAATTAGAAAAACAGATATTTCAACTTTTTAAACGACATACTTCTCCTGCTCCTAAAAACAAAAATGTCGATTCCGATATTTTCCTTTTAGTTAAACGGCGGGCAGTAAGGAGGCCTCCAACCGCCACAGCAGCTGTTCCTTGAATGTCATCATTAAAAGTACAATATTTATTTCTGAACATGTCCAAAAATCTAAACGCATTATGATTTCCAAAATCTTCAAATTGTATCAATACATTTTGTCCATAGCGTTTCACTGATGCCTCCATGAACTCATTGATAAACTCGTCGTACAAAGGTCCAGAAATACGCTTTTGTCTAAGACCAATATACAAAGGATCTTCCAAGAGTTGCTAAAACAATGGGATAGTTTAAAATATGAAATATCAATTACAAGCATACATTATGAATATGTTTAAAAATGATGCTAACTTCATTGTTGGTTCCCACGTCCAATGTTATAGGTAAACATTGATGAGGTTTAATACCTGCTAATGCAGTGTACAATGAAAGTTTACCGACTGGAATACCCATACCGCATGCTCCGAGATCCCCAAGGCCAAGGATGCGCTCACCATCAGTTACGACTATGGCGCGAACATTTGGTTCAGGCCTAACCCCAAAAAAGTTCATGCAAAAGTTAATATCCTCATACATTTATTATTTTATAATGTAGTTTTTTTTTAAATTATGAATTAATTTTTTTGTTATTTTAATAATAAGATTATTTAAGTTATGATAACAGCAATTATTGTAAATTTAACATAATATTAATACTATAACACAAAGGGTAACCAAAAATCTGTTATGTTTACAATTTTTAATAACCATAAACTGAATGGCAGATATTGTTATTTTATTATTTTGATCAATTAGCATACACCTGTATTGAAGAAATAGCAAAATACTTTAACATCAATACATAATTTTGATTAACATAAAATAACCCTATTTTAAATTAATCTTTTTCCACTATTAGTACTTAAAATTATAAAAATGTAAATAATATAATCTTAGAGGATGTAATTAACCGTCAGACATAACCGACATTGTTTTAAATAATATAAACTTTTTTTACTTTAAAATAACAAATTTTGTAATGATTCATTTTACGCTTGAGAATTGATAAGATTATTGTGAAGTACCAAATAAAGGCATAAACAAAAAATACAATTAATAATACACAGGTAATTTTGTAGAAAAAAAATGTTGTTAATGAACTAGTATAGCATTATGGATTTAATACATACAAAACTGTTAAGTAGTCCACAAAAAATTTAACTAAAAATTTATTTTCCTTCTCTTAGAAAATTGCAATAAGTCCTTTTGCTTATGTTGAAGCGTCAATATTAACATACATTATGAGTACATTTTTATAAGAATTGCTGTTTAGTCATTAGTTTTTTATTTTTAATAAATAGTATTTGTATTTTAATATCTTCTATATTTATCTATACAACTAATGGATATATTTTCATTCATAAGTAGAAATTGTAATGCAGGCATTAGGACCCCAGACATTTTTTTTTACTCAAATATATTATTTTAACATAATTCTATTTCAGATAACATTGATAAGAATTTGGATATCTTCCAACCAAATACCACATTAACTACTGTAAATAAATGGCTCTCTGCCACTGACCCATTTCAACATAAATATTATTAGCACAAAAATAATAACCAAATAATGGAAATGATTAATATTCCCAAACAAATTTAATTAATAGCTTAATGATGTATGATACACAAAGTTTAGTTATTAATCTAAATAAATAAAAAACTTTCTTTTATGAGAAAGTCAAAATTTACTACTTATGTTATGTGAATATGTGACTACAATGAAAGCGCTGGCAAATGATGAACCTTAAAAATTATTATATACATTATTAAAGCTATAAAAATATATTATTATACTTGAAATAAGCAAAATACAAGCGAAAATGGGACTTACCAATTTTTCAATAAATCATAAATGTGACCTTTATCATTGATAGTAATAAACAATCCTCTGGGACGGCGGAAAATCAGACCAAATTTTTGACAAGCCATTCCAACAGTTGGAGTGTATACAATTGGTAATAACATATGAATGTTTTCAGATAACAATCTAAAATACAATCTTTCATTTCGATCCTATATAAATTACACAGGTGTTATATCTTTAGACATACTAAAGAAGACATCAACAAAAAATTATTGACTTAAAAATCTATCTAACAACTTACTTGCAACTCGGTCAAGTATAAAAATTTATTTAGATCTTCTTGATACTTCATGACACTGAATCGGCATACTTCAATTTGTTCTTCTTGGGTTTTAAATTTTGGCGGCATCAAACCATGTATGCCAAGTGCCTGTCGTTCCTCCAAAGTAAAAGCAAGTCCTTTATTCAATCGAGGGTCTCGTATATAATCAATTCCTTGTACCAAAGAGGGACATATTATATCCCCGGGCGTGTGAGATGGAGATGAAAAATGAAAACCACGACATTGTGCACGGTCAACACAAGAAGAACTAGCACAAAACAAGGCCAAATTTCTCGATGCTAATGTTGAGCTACAGCTGAAAAATTATTATAAGATACATTTATTACTCATAAATGGTTTATTATGTATGATGTAAAAAGATAAAATAATGTAAAACTAAGTGTTACCTTATAGTTTTCGGTATGATATTCATACTCTTCTATTTACTAGGAACTTGTAATAAACTGTGTTTTAGATAAAATACAATCAAGATAAGTATAATCCAAAGGAGTGCCCCTTTAGGATTACTGTTCAGTATTTAGTAATTATTGCTGGCGCTCAGCTTAAAAAAGGGATCAATTTGTTATCACCACAGATATAGATAAATAAACAGGATAGCCGAAACTAAACTGTAATAAATCAATAAATGAATCTTTTTATTGTCTTATAGACTTTAGTTGTTCAATTATCAAAGCTGCATTGATTACTAGTCCAAACAGACTTAAAATTACAAAACTGTAAAGGATCACAACCATATACTAAAAAAAAAGAAATGTTTAACTATAATTTTACATTAGAATTGTGAGAAATTGTACATTAAAATATTAGTTATTTGGCAAGGCTGTATTCACCAATTACCAGTATACGCCCATGACTTGGTTCGCTTACCCCAGTACCGCAAAGCTCTTATCAATTTTGTTATCACTTTATCAATAATCACAAATACAATATTAATTCTGATTACTGTCAAACAATCGCACATGTGGACTGTACTCTGTAGTGTGTAATGTGTAAGTTTGTGATTTTAACGTTTAGTACTTTGCTATGTAAATTGAATTATAAAATATTATGATCGTTTCTATTCTATTTAGCTTGTATTTTGAACTTGACACATTCAATAGGTAACGTTCTGTTAAGATCGATTCGAACAAAGTATATTTTATGGTACAACGAATGGAAAACTTAAAACTTAATTCTTATTATATTATTATTTTTCTGTTTATTTCATAATTCATATATATTAATAATGTTTTATGTTAATATAAAATATTCCTGAATTACTTTTAGTAGTCTTCTAATATTATAATTGTAGTATACCTACAGGTGATTTCTGTTTTAAATTATTGATAATTTTGTGTGTTATAATACCGTCATTTTGTTGATAAATATTTTATTTTATTTGGGTCTTTTAAAGAAATAATTCATTTACAGGTTCAACTGAACAAAAAAACTGTTGAATTAAAGTTTATCATGGAAGAATATAAAACCACTTTGAAAACTGCTATTGAAAACAAACAATTCATTGATAATAAATTGTTTTCAAAACTAGCAGAATACCTTGAAAATAATAAAAAAGCACATAAATATGACAGTCTCTTACTAGAATACCTCAAGGTTTTTCCACAACAAGTTGTTCGTCTTCCGTCAGGTAATTTATACTTTTAAATGTTATTAAACTGAAAATAAACATTACATACCTAATCATATATTTATTTTGAATAGACTTGTTTCTACATCTTACATCCAACAAAGACGAACCTTTACATCCATTGTATTTGTTTGTAGCAGCAAGGCATAATTATTTAAACCAACAGATTTTTTATAACTTGAATTTAAATTCTTTACCAACGGACAAATGGGCTTATCTTATGTCAGCATTTTATCAAAGGCTTGAAATGATTATGTATGATCCTACATTTACAAAACGCGCTAAAGAAAAAATTGATACGTATAGCATGTTGATCAACAGCCCAAACTGGTTTACTGACAACGAAGAGTTTTTTTTGGGACTACATTTAATTGAATATGGTAAGCATAACTACATATTTGATTAACATATTATAGGAAATTTGTTAAAATTAAATATTTAACAATATACTACGCTAATATATTACACTTAGGGATTAAAATAAATTTTACATTAGAAATCAGCATTTAACGGCCTTATATTTTACAATGTATAGATGTCCATCCATGTCGGTAATGTAAACATGGTTAGGGTTTGCTTTGACAAATGACGCGTCAACAGGAAAAAAACTCTGTTTTACAAATACTCTTCTCCTAGGAACTTTGACACAATCGCTTAAAGACTCTGAGTTTCTTCTTTTGTGGAGTTCTTCCTTGTCATACTGTTCAAAACTATTTAAGAACTCTTCGAACATTCTCGATGTTGGTGCACTGTCCATGAGTTCATCCTGTAAAGTATGACACGAGAATTAATTAGTCCTGGATTCCGATTATCAAAAAATTTACTTACTTTATTCGTTGGTATCATACTAGGTCTTCTGAAAGGATCCATTATTGATTGAAGTAAAAATACTGTAATAAAAAAAAATATCTTAGCCAAAAATATAGGTTACCGTCAGAAATAGTAACAAATTGGAAACTGTCAATGAGATATTTTATCTGAAGGTAATGTTTTACATTTGTACAATGTTAAAATATCTAACTATTATTCATTTTTTGCTTACTTATCTATATATTATTACATAATAATAATATATTTGTCTTTAATAATATATTTGGTAAATTTTCATACATTTATTAAAAGTATATCTCAAATTTATACTATCATTTAGACTTTGAACCACAAATGTTAAATAGAATTACATAGTATATGTTTACGCGCACTCACTTTAAGTGATTATTTAGTAGCTAACAATGTGTTATATAGGTACACAACTCCCTCTACTGATTACTTCCTTATTAAATCTACAAATTAACTTCTTCTTATTTTATCAACCTATTTTATTTGTATTTTAATGTCGACATCAACTCCTGCTTTTTCGAATGTATACACAATCACATTTAAAAAATTAATAATGCTTATATTAAAAATGATATTAAACATACAGTTTTGGACTTGTGCACATCCAGCATAGATCGCATAAGATATTGTAAAATACTTAACTTTTGGTATTTGAATTATTAACTTTTTACTAACGTTACTGACCAAGTATTAAGATACAAAATATGTATTTTTAAAATACTCAACAATAAAGTATTATTTAAAAAAAAAAATAATAATAATAAATTGTCTGCTTAAGTTATTCTAATTGTCTGACTTAGTTATTCCTTGTAAGAACTGTAAGAATGAATTATTAGGAAAGTATATTTTAAGTAAAATTTTTAAATACTTTAATTGAACTACTGTCCATGCCTGTGTATAAAGATGTTAAAGTTAGAATAATTATTTCATTCTTGACCGCGCTTGTCTTAAATTTATAAAGTCATAACAAATTTATATTGATGCTCCTTCAAAAAGTAGAAAGTTTAATCGAAAAACCTTTCAGATCATTCTTTAGCCAAACTGAGGTGTTATTTTTCTTTAACAATCTGAAACGTGCTACTTATTGTAAAAGGTGTTGATAAAAAGGTTTAGAATATGACGTTTTAAGTTAGTGTGACTCTAAAAATAGTTCATTAATTACTAACTTAATTTTCAGACGAAGAAGAGTGCCATGAAGTGTTTGAAAAATTAAAAAATAACTGGTCTGATTTCAAGATAAACAAAGCGTCGGTATCGTTTGTAGATTTAATTGCTTCAAAATGTGACAAGGAAATAGAATTCATCCAGTTTTTGATATCTGCTCTTTTTTCTTTACCTCCCGACAGGTATTTGAATAAAAGTAATATTTATTTATCATATTAATTATAATTGTTGTTTGTTTAAGTACTGATGTGGTTTGGCTGTCCGATAAAATTATAAAAACCTTAAAAATGTTGGAAGACAATAGTTCCATATTTATAAGTGATTGGGATGCTATAACTAAAAAAGCTCTCAAGTGCTTATTAGACGAAGATGCAAAATATGATTTTGTAAAAGTTTTAAGGAAATTACTTGATAAGACTTCAATAGATAAACTAATAGCGTCTAATACTTTAAGCTTACTTACTGGACATTCACAGTTTTGTAATGTCATGCTCAATCGTAGTGCCAACCAGTCTCAAAAAGGTAAAATATTGTTAACTGTTTACACCTGAGAGAAGGTTTTAAATTAAAATTGATTTGCAGAAGAAGTATTGAAACTGTTAGAAGTATTAGTAAACAAACAGCCATCACTAATGACTTTAAGTCATGTGCCATTTTTTCTCTGTTCATATAACGCATCTTTATCTGTGACTGACCAACTATTGTTAAGAGTAGGTGGTATTATTTTTTATGTCTTATATTTCTGTTTGTTAATTTTATTAATTATATTTCTTAGTTACTATTTTCGTACGAAGAAAATTCCATACCTGTGTCAAACTATAGACCTTATTTATGGGGATCGTTTGCCGTGGATCATTATCAAGTAAAAAATCATTTAGAATCAAAAACGTTGTACGATTTCCCATCAACCACCGAAGTAATTTCCTACGTACCTTACAAAAGAGTAAAAGAAACAATAACATATTTCCCCATTGAAAGAGTTTTACATATTAAAGTAAATATTTTAAAATTTATAAATTAAAAAATATTCCTGTTATCTCAGCTGATTAGGTTTTACTTTTTAGAATCAAAAAATTTTGCACTGTAAAAACACAAAAGATCCTAGTAATATGTTGGATCCTGCATTTTTCTTGCCTATGATAAGTAGTCTATTAGGTACAGAAGCTCCGTTGAGCATAGAAAAGTTCACTAAGAACGGTTGTTTGTCTATGGTGTTGGCTTGTTTAGGCAGTTGCGATGATGCTATTCGCTTAGCTGCATATCATGTGCTCACACGTTTGCGATCTCATTTATTTTGGTAAATATAGAGAAAAAAAATTCTATATCCACATTAACCCCCGTAAGTACAACTTTCAACTATGTCAAATCTTTGTGTACAGTAGAAGAGCTGAAAATTTGTTATGGGATCATTTCATTTCGTGGGCAGCCCATGGAATCCACGACTTGCATTTGAAACCTCCTCCGCAGTTACCTATGATTCAAGCTCTGTTTTTGGCCAGGATGGTTTTAGCAATGGCCAACTATGAAAAATCTATCGACGTGACATGTTACAAAATTCTATTAGCTCGTCCGGCAGCACGGCTTAATAACGTTCCAGAAATGAAAACTTTCATGAACGCTATGTGAGTAGTGGTGTAGTCGTATGGGTATATTGTGTGTACCCACTTCCACTTTCTATATATTGATAAGGAAAACCGTGTACTCTAACCTCGGTTACACAATTTTCGTTATGAGTAAACGAGTACAATACATACGTATATACACTTTTATGAATTTAATATTATTGTAGTTCTATTGAAAACGATAAGACACGACATGTGCGATGGATATTCAAAGTGATAAGAGATGGAACTCGATCTAACGCGGATTGGCAAATATTGAAAAATATGGATTTACTCAATATGTTTTTAGTTACACTGAGCTGTGGCAGTTCAAAACCTAAGGTGACTCATGTTTACACATCTGTACCATCGACAGTGGTTTTTAATGGTTTTTATACATTTTTTAAGATGTTGATTATGAAAATAATGGAAGCAGCATTTCTTGTTCAGCCGGCAACAAATGGAGGCACCGGTCCTTGGGCTTTGAGCTTGATGATGGCTATAAGCAAACTACAAGTTAAATTATCGACTGAAGAAGTTATTCAAATGTTTTCATGTTTAAACGCTTTGAGTGCAAGTTCCAGTATTAGTACAGCTACAGTTGACTTTTTGTTGTTTATGTTTTTGGAATATGGAAACGTCCTAGACGTAGCAGTGGCAGGCTTTGCCACCTTAGCCAATATTGCGTCAAAGTACATGGAATCATTTCAGCTTTTGACCAATCAAAACTTATTGGATGTTTTAGATTGTGGGGAAAGTTCAACGGCTCTAACACCAGATGAAATTCAGAAATGCCGTTGTGTTTTAGAGCATGGAGTCAATGGGATACAAATAGATAACAATGAAAATACATATTTATACCTACCCACTCTCCTTAAATATTTAAAAACGAGTTAACAAGTTATAATTAATTTTTGTATCTTAATTTTAAGGTAAATAAATAAATTAATTATTAAAGAAATTGTCTTATTTATTCCAATTGTAATTCATGTATTTTATACTGAATTATAAATTTATTTTACTCAGTTTAAGAAATTAAAGAACTATTGATTATTTTGTTATTATTGTATTGTTATTCAATTTAGTTGAAAATCTACTAAAAAAATTGACTAGCTGATTCGAAAATTTATAAAATTTAAAAAAAAATTTAAAAGTAACAAGTGATTAACTAAAAATAAGAAAAAAATCTACAAAATTAATATAATACTTTGAAAAAACTAAGTGACATACGTTAAGAGGACGACACACTGCCCATTTTTAAGGAGTAAAGTAAAGGCAATTTTTTACAAAATCTCAACTTAAAGGTAAAACTGTGATGTGTAACTATGAGTTCAGTAGTTAGGACTCATTTTTAGTAGTTAAATTATTTTTCGGACTATTACAGCATTCTTGACAGCGAGTTTAAAAAAAAATTCTGTTGAGTTGAGTTTTACGCGAATTAATTTTTCTCAGGCTAAGAAATTCATACATATATTATTTATGACAAAATTATCTGTGTTCCATCATCCATATTTTTTTTTATTATATACCTAATACAACCAACGCTATATCATTTTTAAAAAAATAACGGGTGTGTGGCGCTCTCTTAATGTTATCAACTGAATATAAGTTAAATAAGTAAAAATATTAAAAATCACCAGAAGTAAACATCAACAGGTAATATTGTAAAATTGCAAAACAATTGTGTATATTATAATCAAGTTTTTAGTTTTTTTGAAGGAATTTGAAGTTGGTGTTTATTCGATTTTGAAGGGGAAGTGTTAAACTTTTTGCATTTTAGGTACAAGTTCTAATCTACAAATAGACTTACTAAAAACGCTATTATAACTATTTAAAATATAGTGTTTATAAGATTTTTAAATGGCTAAAATAACGGTTTTTTTTTTTGTAAAATTCCAGATTTTTGAGTATTTTCATAGGTAACTCATTACTATTTCAGACGCAAAAATAGAAAAGAAAAAAAGTACATTGTTGTAAAACCAAAACCTTTAGGAGCTAAAAAAGTTTAAGCTCCTCGTCGAAGCTAATACAAGTTATATAGATAATATCAATGTATGTTTAATATTTTCTGAAAAAAAGACAACGAAATTAAACATTAACCACAACTAAGTCCTATGAATGGTAAATAATTAATAAATACTACCTACTATCTTCATAAAGATTGAGTATTGACATGAACAGATCACGGATGTTTAATATAGGCTATTCATATGGAATATTGGATTTTTTTCAAACCGATAATTATGCAGACTATTCTACAAAAAAAATAACTTAAATTCAATCCGTCGAGTATATAATTGTGTCATTGGTAGTTAAGATTAAAAATGAAAATGTTTGACCTTAGTATAAGATTTGAAATATTGGATTGGCTAACCTCCACATATCTGATATCGAATTAAAATTAATTTTGCAGTCAATTTGTTCAATAATAATATGTATCCGTAAATTTGCGTTACATAACCGTACATTTAACATAATATACCTAATCGTATCCACACGATCGAAATCAGTCCGCACTCCGCAGCCGGTTGAATTTCAGCCCCGACACACCTTCAAAGCTCTCCAACAATGCAACAACTGAATAATTGGCATTGCACTTATATAATACTAAGAAGCAACGCTATATGTTTTAAAAAATAAATTAGTTTATGGTCCTATATCTCTGATGATCTAGCAGTAGTTACAACTTACAAGTACCTATGTCGTATACGACATATATAGTAATAATCTTACATTTACCATTTCTACTAGGGGCATATCCGACGAGACTTAAACATTATAACCATAGAGTAAACATTTGCTAAACGCCCATTTTTTACCACCTGCATTCGGGTTGACGTTAGTACAATGATAAATCCTGATTAGAAAAATAATGCTTAACGATAAAGACAAATAGGTATACCTTCTTAACCTTCTAAAAAAATACTTCTCCGGCTTTGGCCATTCAATTAATATGTTACGACCACAATCGTATTTTAAATAGTAGGTATAATATATCGTTATGTTCATTGCTCAGAAATGTTTAAACCGGAATTTATCACATGCTTTGTCAAGTAAATAAAAAAAGAATACAAGTTTCTTTTCTACAATTTAATCTATACCTATTAGTTAAATCCCGAAAAGGAAAACGTAATCTATTCCAAAAACTTAATCATAATATTAATATACTTTCACCTTTTATATAGTTTAGATGTATTCCTACCTAATATTACTGTAGATAATCCTATAAAACTACCTAATGTAGTGATGCATGTAAAATATATCAGCAAATTTACATATTTATTGTTTTTCCGAAAGAGAAATAATAAGTAATGAGTTTATTCATGTTTTTACTTTTTACTTTTACTTTTTATATGTATTTTTTTTTTTTTTTTGCCATCCCGAGATTTTGTATTAAAAGTATGTAAGAATCATATAGGTGAAATAAAGTTTTGAAAGTTGATAATTTTGCTGGGATGGTGTAGCTTTTTTTAAACTAACGAGTTTCAAACTTTTGTTATAGGTTATGCCTCGATACAACAGTAAGTATTTCATTAAAACGGAAAAATATATAATGTGTGTCTATGACAGGATTCAAAATTGTAGAGCAAGTAATGTAGGACTAAGGTAGAGATAAACCAAGAAGATAATATTATGACTCGAAATGTGTAATATGAACAACGGAATAGTAACGGTTTGACAAATATGACTTGTGAAAGGAAATCATTTGGCCGACCTTTTTTACAAGTTACTTGCAACATATATTACTTCGATTAAAAAACTGATTTTTCAGGGTTTTTCCCCTGATCTATCCCTCAAATGGTAGTTTTATAACACACAATTTACCACCTAAAATTTGTCTTTGATTTTAGTATTGTTAAGCTATACTTCATTTTTAACTAGTAATTACATCTTAAATGATGTTAAAGAAATGCATAAGGTTAAACTAAATACGTATCACGGTATAAAGAAATTACTTTTTCAGAAATCCGAAATCAGGTGACCTGTAGAAGGACTACAAAAAAAAAAATCCAATAACTCTATGAGGTATTACCTTAAGACCTTTCCTTTCCTGTGTTTATGATCTTTTTTTTTTATTAAAGAAAATTTACTATTTCCTACATTCTATGATTCATATAATATGTTGTATAAACCCGTAAAAAAATATATTGACTTTAAACACAAATATATTTGTTTGTCTTAGCGGTACTCTTTTCATGACGTTTTAATACTAATATAAAAGATATATTATATAGTATGGTGATTGAAATTTTACGAGCAGGAACATCTGTTCATAACATCCGGTCATTGTTTTCTTTTAGGATGTATCGACGAAAGTGAAAAACTGGTTTCAATAAATTTAATTAGAAATTAGATAATGGATATTGTAAGTTAACTTTTTTATTTTGTGTTTTTTTTTAGGTACGCCACCGCACAGTGCTTGTATACTTTGTGGCGTTCAGGTAGTCTCCATACGACAGGTAAATATTTAAATTTTAATACATTTTGAATTTTAGCTAAAGAAATAATTTTATAGTACATTTAACTAAACTGTAATTGAATCATTAGTTTATAACACGTTTATAATACAACTAAAACAATTATTTGTCATTCATAAATTATAATTCATTCTTAATCGTACCTTTTTTTTTTTTATTAAAAATATATTTACAATCTATACAGCAAGTACATTAAGCAAATGTAGTGAATGTTATATACATGACATTCAAATTAACGTTTATGTGCAGACACTTAGCAGTATTACCCGACTAGGAAATTAATAAATTAGTTTGCTTTCTATTGGTTTTTTTTGTCTTTTTCCTTTTTTCCTGTACTTAAGTTATTGTAGAAGGACTCTGGGCTGTCTTCTTTTTAGTCTTTTGGGAGCATTATCGGGAAGGGGGGATGGACGGTAGTTGCTTTATTAGGGGACTTGAATGAGAACTTTGATTTAAATAGAAATTTGAGTAGAGAGAATTTGCTAACTGGTCGAGTTTTGTTATATTTAAGTCTTTATATAAGTTTTTATTTGTGATACACCAAGGGGCAGTCGGCAGAGGTTATAAAACGTACTTACAGCACAAAATACATTTAAAGTAAAAAATTCGTGTTACCTGTTCATGTAGTGTGTGTTTTTTACCCCTTTCAAAAATATTTGACCTAATGAAATATTAGCAATGTTCAATGAGTGTTATTTATATGTTATAACTTATTTTATTACTTTAGATTTGAGTAATAGTTTTTCATTTTAATGTTAATGAAATATATAAGGTACCATTAAAGTTTTCCCCCATGTTTCTATTGTACCATTATTGTGTTTATTGTAGTCTATAGATCAAAATCGTACACAAAAGGTACCATTTCAATATGCTAAAAGTGGAAAAAGTTTCCTCCTCTCCTTCAGAGTTGAAAGGAATAGCATATAAATGTTCATCATTTAAATTCAGCGCACTATAACTTCTTTACAATAAAAACTCAACCTAACCTACCCGACCCCATCGTGTTGGCTTTTTCACTTAATCGTTTAAATAATTTTGATATACAAATAATTTGTTTTATTTTGTTAAAAATTCGGTTACTTTAAAACGATGATTACCTATTAATTATCGTTAACTATATTTTTATCACAAAACAAATTTAACCAAAAACGTAACAAAGTTTTAAACAAAATGCTTCAATTATTGAACGTTCATAAACGTGTTATTACAAAAGAACTAATGATTAATAAAAATAAGAAATGTAAATCAAACTGAAGATACGTATATGACTTGTGTTTGGGACTAATTTGTTAGATTTGAATATTACGAAAAACATATAAAAAACGAATAAACAAGTTTTTTTTTGTCGTTAAACCTTAGGTAAATACTAAAATGTCGATAAGTTTTAAATTTACATGTTTTTTTATACAATGCATATAAAAAAATACCGGAATTTGTAAATAATTACCAGTTACCGCAATGTATTATACCTACTAAATTTTAATAAAATGATTCATTTTCATTTAATGTAATTAAGATGTCACTGATGATATTTGAACAGTCATATAAATTATATTAGGTACCTATGAACCGGCACACAGTTATCCAACATAAATAGATGTTAGATATTCATATAATAATATAGACATAGTATAATATATACACAAAAGTGTTAATAAATGTATAAAATAGTAAAATGAGTTACCTGATTTAAACGAAATAGACACTTAGCACTGAATAACGGAGCCTGCAAATTGCCATAAAAACGAAAAATACACTGAAATAAAAAAATAAAATAAAAAACAACTCAGAAGTAATGTCACACTACCACGGAACTGGTTTTGATTTGTTTATTTCTTAATTTCAGCAACAACTCATAATCGAATCCCTACCCTACACGCGATCGCAGACATAAAACTGTGATTTGCAACTTTTGTTATAGTATTATAATAAAAATATGTTTATTATTAAATGCACGTTAATTTATTCAAACTGCTCTTCGCAGCTGTAACTTGTAGTAAGTAGTTACTTGTACTATACAGTCGTCAGCCTTCATTCTTAATCGTTTTGCATTATGATAAAAACGTCGATTTAGTTTTTAAACTCGATTATAAGTTACTAGAAAATAAAAACTACAGTTAAAACAGACAATTATAGTTGTGGCAGTAAATAACAGTTAGGCTACTTAATAATAATAAGTTCTATATTTAAAAGACAAAACAAAACGATACCTGGAAACAAATTTACGTTAAACGTGGACCCTCGTGTAATTTTTTAAATTCCTTATATTGTTAATAGACATATACCTGCCAGCGGCGTACATTTTTCGAGGGGGTAATAGTAGTAGTCCTACTGATCTTCAACAATTGTTTTTAAAACAGTTGATTATTGAAGGGGAACAGTCTATACTCTTGAACGGAAATAAATCTTCAAATTAGGTATTTATTCAAAACTGGTTTACGTTGTACCAGTGAATATTTGCTTAAGTCTTACTCTTCATAAAAATGTTAAGTATAAATAATAATTTATAAATATAATAATATGTGTCCTCTTAATGAAAGTACATTCCTGACAGGGTTGACCTGACTGAATTTAGCCCCCTCTCCCCAATACAAAAATCCTGTGTACACCATTGTAATGTATACAAAAAAAAAACGGAAAATCTATAGTTTTAAATTATCTAATTACACATGATTCCTTTAACCCTTTTGATTTCGCCACCTTCGTATGTGATTGCCGATTGGCGCTTTGTAAAATAAATTACTTACATACAAATTAGTGTTTTTATTTAAATATAAACCCTAATAACCATATAATGTATTTATTTATATTTATATTTTTTTCAATGACACATTATTTCAGTTTGCTGCAGCTGCTGCTCTACTAACTATCCAAAGACGGTCGGAAAGCGTTTGAAAGGCAAGCAGGTATGGCGAGAGTCATATAAAGTCGTGAAATTTAGATTAAACGTATGTCTTCGCATCTTAGCGGTTTGTTGGACGAGATGCACTTGAAATGACAAGTCGAAAAATTGTAAATAATGGTACTAAAAATGATAATATGTAAATCTAGTTTTCACCTGAACGTAATTACGACATGGCAGAATATAATGTGCACACGGTGAAACGCGTTATATATTTCACGGACAACAAGTCTATAAAAATACCGTCCGATTAATAAACAGAGAAATGCATATAATAGCGGTAGCACATGTAAATATCCAGAAAATTATAGAAACGTTACTTTACTACTTACTATTGCAGGTCGGTATTTTATTTTTTTATTAAACCGTTCGTTTTTCGACAGCGCGACAGGCGTTTAAGTCACTTTCCCGAAATAATATAGCTAAGGTAAATATTTTGAAATGTACTCTAGTTTAAAATTGTTTTCACGCCTTTTGAAACGCTCTACTAGGGTAATCGACAGACAAATGACAAAAGCATAATAATGAATGGAAACGGATACGGTTGTAGAAGTTGTTTAAAATAAATAAATCTATGTGTGTGTATAGTGTACATATTACAAAAAATTAGGTATATCTCACAACTGCACTGGAGAGGCTGGATAAAAGTATTGTATGTGTATAAATGTCAGAATAATAGTGCCGAAAAAGAGGTATACTCATTACCTAATGCAACACTGGGATATACACTTTTTAAGCATTTGATTATTTGAATAAGAGTATTTTAATGCAAACATTATTTTAAATAATTGTATTCAATGTTAATTGTCAACTATACTAAGTTGGGTTTCTTCCATATAATATATAATATTATATTGTGACATATAATATGAGATATAACCAACTACCAAGGCTAGGTAAATTAATGACAATATACGTCCAAAATTTTCCATTTTTTATTCAAAATCAAGGTTTGGCATACTTTAAAGTCTGTGAACATACTTATTTATAATATAAACACAATGTTGACATTAATATAAATACCAAGCAACTTATACTTGTTTTAATATAGCAAAAAAGTGTTTATGGCCGAAAAAATATTTTAACTAAATATTTCCTTTAATCGAATGCCTTCCTAAAAACCATGTCCTAAATCCTCTGTATCTGATGCATACATAGATAACGCAGGTTTACTTTAACAGAAACTTTTTTTTTATGTTTTATACTATTCGTGTATTAGGAGAGCTGTATGTAGGCTGTATATTGTTTTACTCTATTAGGCCAAGTCCTAAGTGATATTCATTACAGTCAACGCGCTGTTAGTCGATTCTAGAATGGGTCTAATTTGTATAGTATCCATGTGGTCATTTTTTTTAAATATATGCTGCTGTAACATTTACAAATGAACATTTTTACCGGTCATCGACAACCAGTTCTGAACAATTATTTCACGAGTTGTAAGCGTTTCAAAATGTTGGCGGTAGCCGGCACTGGGGGAAACGTTATATTAATATTTTTCTCTTCGAGCACTTCTCCGGCAAAAGTGTAAGTAAATATAGATATAATAATAAATATAAGATAAGTACTCTATAACTGCAAGTATGGGTCAGGCAGCTATACCGTCGGTCGTGCGCGCAGGATAATATAAAGTGAGTGTGTGTGTGTGTATTCCCTCACCGAAATTCTTTATCCGTTTTTTATTTTTTTTTTTTACCGGTCTCCTGCTCCCACCATCGCCGCCCGTTCACCTGTTCGAGAGGTCGGTCGCCATCATTTTTATACTTGTACACTCTTCGACAACACCGCGCGAGGCCACGACAGTAGTAGCGTTCCTCCTGGACGTGCTGTCAACGTGTGTGTAGTGTGTGCGTTATTGTTTTTTGTTTTTATTATTATTATTATGATTTCTTCGACGGCCAACATCGAAACGCGTTGATAGTCGTCGAGAACAAGACTTGCGGCCGTGTGTTGTCCAAGTGCGTCGAGACACTTTTCGCGTTTGTTACCGTTGCACACGCCTGACCATCTTACCTAACCGGGCTAACCTTGCGCATCACGCATTTGGAGTATCTAATTCCTACAGGTACACACTGAATATATCTCGATTTTATTATTATTATTATTAGTATTGCTGTGCATCAATTGTACATTAGTTGTTCATTGTATTTCTCTCTGGGAGTGAGAGAGATACAATGACAAAATAGGTATCCTTTTGTTTGTCGGGACGCTTGTACCCACGGGGAGCTATATTACCACTCAAACTAGAGCGGTGCGAGTAACCCAAAAAATGCTAGTCGTCTATATGCAGAAGACGAGTAATGTCGTTTCTAGTTATTGTTGAAAAATCGTATAGTAAATGTCTGAAGAAAAATTTTCCCAAATGTTGGACCGTATCTTAATTTTGACTTTTGAGTGCACCACAAGTAATTAAGGAGCTCTACACAACTGCTTGATAAAAGGTAAAAAGTTTCGTCTGCAATATAAATCCAGGACGTTCGATAAAAACAAATCCTATTATGGAAATTTAAAGGGTTACAAATCTCTCTGTTGGCTTTTTGTTTCCTGTTGATATTATTTTTGTCAGTGGCGTCTATTTTGACTAGTACCCTTTCCCCTTGACTGGCAATCCCTTCCTTACAATAACTAAAACAGTTATTTTGGGGCCATTACACCCAAAAAATGCTGTACATCAGACAATTTAATAACAAGTATCCATTTCTCGCTACAACTTCGGTGTCTTGGTCTACAAGGATATTTGTATAATGTCTTGACACTTGGATTTTAATTTAACCTAACTCACCGTCCATTCTCACTCTTTTAAAACTACATTTCTTCAAAGGTAGTCGTAATTAACATATTTTGTCTAATTTTTATATCACCTTTAAGTTGTGTTATTGAATCTAAAAACGGTTATATATTTTTTTGGTTTTAAAGTTCAAAAACGTTTTAAATGTTTTCCAACTTCCTTGGTTTTGTACCCGTTTTGACTCCTTGCTTCATGGGCGTAAATTCAAAAGAGATCCTTTCGTAGGTTTTAAATTTTTTTTTTCAAAACTGTTGTTCTATTCTTAGCTATGCCTGTAGGCCTATAGGGAAATAAGATTTTGAGTTGTTATGCGGTCCTTGTGAAATTGAAATATCTGGCCTAAAAAATATGTTTCCTATAGTTAAAAATCGTACTATTAATTGATCAAATTGTACATAGTATTTTACACTAAGAGACAAACCCAAAGATGGCCAAAAATCCATTTAATAAAAAAAAAAATTCTATGTTTATTGGGGTTTATACGAATTCTATACATTTTTTGTTTAATATCCAATATTGGCCGGTCTAAACCAAAAGCTCACCGATATTTTTTTTTTTTTTTGAGGGAGGGCGTGGTTGTTAGTATTTTTTGTCAACTTACCCAAAGGCCAATGGACCGCTGAACTGTTTTCACAGTATAATAACCAAAACGTATACATGTCTTATGACTTACCCTCTAAGGCATAGCCCAATGGTTATGCTCATAGGCGACCAACGTCCGCTCTGTATTGTTCCGCTCCTGTGAGCGTAGGCGTTGGTCTACACGAATATTAATCTTCTCGTTTCCGTTTTTGTTTTTGTTTCGAAGTACAATCGCATTGAGACGACGGTTGCAGTTGTTTTGCTTGGTTTTTCATCCTCGTCTTATTGTGTTTACTGTTGCATTCAGTTTTTCCCGTGTGCATCGACCGTTTGTGTGCATTGAAGACCTGTCCATCAGCTCCATATATTATTATTCCGTTTTCATATACCTATTATTATGCATTCTCCTGCCTATGCCGGCCACTACCGATGGTTATAATATCTGTCTGACCTAGAAACATGGCAATCAATGAAATTATCGTGCGCATTATTGTTTAGGGAGATCGCAGACAGAACTGGTTTAAACGTAAATTAATCTTCGCCGAGATAATCGCACATCAAGGTTGGTTATACCTATATATCGTGTAGAAAACCACCGCACGCGCCTTGTTATTAACTCGAACAGACGTTTGAGAAAATATCCATTCGCTATTACTTGTGTGATAATAATTTGAATTCTTAGACACACCGCTCACAATTTAGCTGCTGTATGATATTTACAAACCAAACGAAATACCTATACTTAGCACATGTATAGGGCTTAGGTGCCTCAGTTGGGCAGAATTTCAATCAACTGAAGTGTTGCGATAGGAATTTAAAAAGCAATAATCTGGTATGGTGCGAATGATAAATAAAACTTTTTTTAGAGTTGATTAACGTGTACATCTATATTGATTTAATACAAATTATTGAAATAAGCATGGTATTGAATCAATCATAAATTGCATCCTAATAAATTACATCTCGAATTTATATTATAAATACAGAACCAAAACTAGATAAATACAAAAACACAATAGCATTTAAGAAAAACTCCACCCTTCAATAAATGTACAGTAAATTTTATGAATTATGACCATTCACACATCATTTAAAACCAACTTTTTTTACTCGAGTAATACATTTAAAAAAACTGATCGTCTGTTAAAAATTACAATAACTCATAGATGTACATATATAATTATATACATATACATACATATAATTCAATCTTCGCAGCTACCTATTGAAACATTAGCGATTGACGACCAACGCTGGTAAAATAAAAATAAAATTGCTAACACATTGTACTGACTTGCGTTGTTGCGGAACAAATTAATATTCCAAGTGTAACGCCGAATATTGTACTTTCATATTACATCCAAATAGTTATTTAAATACCTACGAGGATCGTTCAGTATGGTGCTTATTTATGCTAAGCCAAAACAAATTGTTTATTTAAGAACCAGCCAATAATAACAACAATGAATACTATATTCATGATAGCGCTTATGCGGTTTCGACTCATCGAGTAGGTAATAGGTATATTTATTTCCAACAAGTTATTATAAGTCATGGCGTTGGAGATTTGATTTTCTCCGTACAGGAATGAGTTGAAGGTACGCCGCGCCGCGCTTTTCATAAATGTATGTATAATACATTATGTCTACACCCTACCTACATAATATTCTTAACTGTACTCGATAATAATTAATATACAGTAACGTGTCGATTTAACCGATTGAATTCTCGATAAAAAAAATAACTAATATTAATAATAATAACTATTACTATTACTGGGTAGGTAAACAACGATTAAAACTAAAACCACGCACTGCGATCGTTTAAAGAGTTTGATACAGTATCAGTTTGATAAAATAATTACACAGCTCGGATAGTATTGTAATTTATTATACAAACACAATGCACCCATGTGTATCTTCTGTACCCGTAGCCAAGCCAATATATATAGACACCCGCATCACAATACACTTATAAAATGTACAATAAAGGCTCCGTTATTGCTGTCCTGTCCATAGCATAACGTTATTGCAAATTATACAATGCCATTACCCTTTATATTATTCATACCGGTGTGTTGATCGCTTGGCGCCACATTGATAACCGGTACAGTTCTCTTCAGACGCCATTCACATGATAGCCACCGGTTGTTTACGTTTTTCATGTGTTGAAATTGTTTTTTTATTTTTGCTTCGATACAAAGTTAAAAAGATATATTTTTATTTCATAGGTGGTGGTTATCGTTGGCGCTATAGTTCAGAAAAACGTTCACTAAAAGATCACACTTTCCCAATAAAAGTCAATTAAAACATCCTAAAAATATACATATTTTTCAACTTGTTAACTATATAGTGTAGGTAATATAGGTGTTATGCAAATTAGAAAGATATATTATAGTTGTTAAAAAACACTAAGCTAAAACCACAGAAATAAAATATATCAATGTATCAATAACTAAATCTTCTTCCCCTCCAAAAAACGTAGAAGAGGCAACCCACGACCTGGATTCGAATCCTTACAAGCCAATTACTCTACTGGTTATGCAGTCTTGACTATATAAAAAAAATAGACGGTATAAATCATAGATACCCTATTTTTCTAATAATATGTTCCCTTTCTTTCTTAGGTAGTCATAAGCAAACAAGTTATTTGTTATACCTACGTATAGCAGCATAATATAAACAACAGTTATAAGCAGCTAATGACAAATAACAAGAAGTTAGAAAAAGGCAGATGTTTAAATGGGAATGGGAAAAAGTAAATTGATAACTAAATTTGATTTTAAAAAATTATATAAATATGTTCATGACATAGTACACAAGTTTCATAAATGCATTTTTCCATCTAATAGCCATTTGCACATTATGTAAAAATATTTAAAGCCGAAGATACATAATTTTGATGCTTAAGACAATGCCCAAGTTCAATAAATGTATGAAATTATATAGCATCATATAATTTTAATAAAATATTAAAACGAGTTGATGGATTTAAAGGTAAAGGTAGATTGAAGATAAAGTGGATGAATGAAGACGCGTAAGATTTGTTAGAGGATAGAGAGAGATAGAAAGAGAAAATTTGGCTGGCCGACTCAGTTCGTATGAGATAAGGTGTGAAGGAAAAGAATTCTGTGAACTCATCATTAATGAACACATACGTTTAGATATAATGTTAATAAGAAAGCAACGGAGTGGAATGCGTTAATACGTACATTCCGGATTTAATAGTGGTAGTGTACTAGTATATATAGGATACGGTAGTTTGAAGTATTGTTTATTAAAATATTAGTCCTAATTTATAAATAATAATTATTACTCGAGTGGCTACTAGGTATTACACATTTCTGACCCGGGGCTATTATTATTCAAAAATATAACTTATTATTTCACCGACCCAAAACCACCCACCTGGAATACATTATACCTATCACGTAGAGGTACGAGTAATATATTTTCTGGACGTTCCAGTTAAAAAAAAAAAGTTCATAACGCTTGTAATTATTATATTTTCTTCCGTCATACCACTGTGTATTACAGGCGCACAAGCATTTTACCACCCAAGTTCATTATTATTACTACTATATTCGTTTCGGGTCATTTAGCGAAAATTAATCAACATTTTCTTTACCAACGTCCAGATACTGTATATAAATATATATATATATATATACATATTTCTGCTTGTAAACACACACA